AGAATACACAGCCGTGAGAAAAGCTGCGCACTTTGTCATTTAATCAAGTTTATTTATTATTTATTTACCTAGTGTTTTACCAGGAAAATCCCATTGGAATCTCAGATCTCTTTTCCAAGAGCGGCCTGGGCCTGAAGTCAACCTTTAGGACATGTTTTTGTGGGTGAAAACCGGAGTACCCGGAGAAAACCCACGCAAGCACGACAACATGCTAACTCCGTGCAGAAAGACCCCAGGTCCGAACCAAAGATCGAACCCAGGACCTTCTTGCTGTGATGCGTCGGTGCTAACCACTGAGCCATCGTGCTACCTATAAAACCAATACATCTGTTATTAACAGAACGTTGTATAATCCTTTAGTCACAGTCGTATGAATGTTTAAAAGTTCAGTCTTGTCCCTGCTCTCAAACCAGAGTGTCCAACACCAACTGTTGACTTCCTGTCCTCGAACACAGCAGCTCCTACATCAATGTTGCTGCCTTCGGTGAACAGTCAGSGCTAGCTGTTCCAAACTGATAATGTAATCAAACAAAACATCCTGAAAACATGATTTTTACCTTGAGATCATTCTCTGGGAGGTATTTGCACTGCTTAGCGATCTCTGCGTATTTATCCAGATCTAACGGCGCCATTGTACCGTCAACAGTAACTTCCGGTTTGAGATAAAATGAACGTCGTCCTTTAGCCCTTTCCGCCCCCTGGCGTCTGACGGAGTGAACTGCAAGTGAGRTTTGCAAACAGTTTGGGTTTGTGTAGGGAGAAAGTTTGTGCGTGAGGACAAATTCTGAGCGACAAAAGGAAAGTTTTGAGAGAGAACAGATAATATTTGAAAGGGAGCAGAGGTTTTGAGTGCAAGCATTTTATGTTTTAAGAGCAAAAACGTACTCCTACTCTCAACTTAAAAATGTACACTCTTGATTAAAGTCAGCAAAATTATCCATTCTCTTGCTAAAATTTGATAATTACAACCTATGGACACAGGTCCTCTGTCTGACAGGACATGTATGGGCACAAGTCCACTGTCTGAGGCCATGAGAATATCATTAGTAACTTTCACCAGCGCTGTTTCTGTGCTATGATGAGCTCTAAACCCTGACTGAAACTCCTCATATAAATTATTTCTGTCCAGATGTTCACATAGTTGATTTGCAACTATTTCCTCATGAATATTTGAGATGAATGGGAGATTAGATATAGGTCTATAGTTGGCCAGACCTCCTGAATCAAGATCAGGTTTCTTAAGTAAAGGTTTAATTATAACTCTCATACATTAGCTCATAGTTTATTAATTGTTGTTTTTTTAGGCATTCTGTGTGTTACCTGTTTCCTGTGTTCTCCTTATTGGCTGCTCAATATTGAACTTTATCTGAAAACCTGTTATTTTTGTTAATTTAAATACCTGAAATAGTTTAATATCTGAGTTGTTATGCTGCTGACTTTGGAGGACCTAAACTGTCATAATTGATATTTATTTATTTACTCTTATTTAACTGGGCAAATCCCACTGAGATCACAGGTTTCTTTTGCACAGCAGGCCTGAAGACAACCTACTGGACATGTTTTGGGGGTGTGGGGGAAACCGGAGTACCGGGGGAAAACTCACGTAAGCATGAGGAGAACATTAGACCCCAGGTCTGAACCGGGCTCAAATCCAGGACCTTGCTGCGAGGCATCAGTGCTAACCACTGATCCACTGTGCTGCACACTTTGTTGTCCAATTAGGTAACCTGAAAGTAGGTGAGGAAAAGAGACAAAGGCCTCTTCTGAACTGAAGCAGCTTAATTGGGGTTTAAAAATTGAACTTTTTTACAAAAAACAAGAAAATAATAATAAATAATGAACGACTTTATAAGTTACACGGAGCTGTTTCATGACTGGGTGAATTTCAATTATTAACTGGGAAGGTTCCCTATAAGAATTATTAACATCCAAAGTCATTTATCCAGTAAAACTGAGTAGTTGTTGTTTTGTTTTGTTTTGTTTTTGTTTGCTTGTTTGTTTATTTGTTTTTTATTTGTTTGTTTTTTGTTTCAACATAGATGCTTTGGTGTCAAGAGGAGGAAGCTTACCAATAGGCAGGTTAACTGGTTTAAAGTTTTGTGGTGGAAACTGTTTATCTGATGTCTCAAATTCATTTTTGAAAGGTTTTGCCAATAATAGGAAGCTGGGTGCAAGTTGTATTTCTCTCCTGTAGTAACTCCATGTTTTCATTTTTAAGCTGTATGTTTTCATTATGAAGGGTGTTTATTTTGTCTTGGCACACAACATTTTTTTCCTTCAAATCTTTCAGGACCCAGTTAGCCTTTTGGTTTACTCTCTCCTGATGAAGATCAGATCTCAGCCTCTGGATTTCAGATTCTTTTTCTTCAAGATTTTTGGTAAAATGTTTTTCTATCTCAAATAGTTTTTACTGTCATCCCATGGAGGCACTATGTTTGTGACTTGAGGGGTTTCCTGTCTAAATCGTGGCTCGATTTTTTTATGTGTAAGAACTCACTCTATGACATTAAGACCAGCTCAATCTCACACAATAAGAACTCACGCAAGATCTTTGCATTATGAAATCTCAGAAAATGACAAGACACCAACTCTGATCATGAATGAGAAATGAAAACTTGTGAATGAAAACTTGTGGCAATGGTAACAAATCAGTTGTATTAAACTTCTTGTGGGGTCTTACAGTGTTGCTCTCGAAGACACTTCTCAAAAGTTTCCCTCATCAGTTTAACAGTTATTTCCCATCATTTCTGTTTTCTTAAACTAATTTTAGATGTTTCTAGTTGAGCGAGGGGCAYATTTTTAAGTTCTTCTTTCAACTGGTTAATCTCACTCTGAAGTTGATTGGGTTGTCTGCCTTTATTTAACAACTTCTTTTTCTGTTTGTCCAGGTCTACAGTCAACTTTTCGTTCTCCTGTTCCATTTCATTTTTACATTTCAGAGATTCCTTTTTCAAAGGAGAAGACATTTTTTCATCTAGAAATTCTTTGATGTCTTCTAGTTGGGTTTTGGTGTCTGACAGCTGCTTTTTCAAAGTGACATTTTCTGTGCAAACTACTTCAGTCAGTCAACATGCAGCTTGATGTTGCAGTGTATCTAATTCAGAAAAGTAAAGAGAATGAAATCAGATGTGTTGAAGATGTTAGAAGTTTCCTTTTTTAATGCTGTGGTAGACTGTACCATTCGATTTTTGGAGGATCGCTTTGAGTCCTTAGGGGAGGTCAGAAGTGTTTTTGGAGTGCTTTTGAACTTTGGCCAACTTGATGCACAGACAAGGAAGGACCAGTGTCAACTTTTCAGTGACAAACTGACCTGTGGAGAACAGTCTGATATTGATGGGAGTGCACTGGCCACACAGATGGAAAACCTCCCAGAATTCTTCAAAGCACAGAKGACCACATTTGAACTGCTGGCTTACGTACATCTATCAAAATGAGATCTTTGAATTGTACCCAAATCTGTGGCTTGCTCTACGGACAGCCTGCAACTTCCCTGTGACTGTTGTATCTGCAGAGGGGAGCTTTTCCAAGCTCAAATTAATAAAAAGCTATATCTGAGATCTTCCATGGCTCAGGAAAGACTGAGTGGACTGCCAGTGATAAGTATTAATAACAAAATTGGCCATCAGATTTCTTGCAGTGATAAATGACTGCAGCCAGAAAAGCCAGAAAACACAGGTATTCAAGCGTAGGTGGAGTATTGATGAACAGAGAGAGTAACATAAAAAGGTCGAATGTGTGGGTAAACATAGTTTAATATTTTTTAACTAAATATTTTTCACATTTTTAAACCATTTTTATCTGGTTTCAGGTAATTATTGAAATATTTGCTTTGTATTTTATTGTTTACTTGATTAATATTATTTTTTGCACAATTTAATTTATTGTTTTTGTATTTCTAAGTTATTTTAGTTGTTGTTTGTGGTTCTTGCACTACAGATTACTTTTGCACATTGCTGTTGCAGTTGTTTGAACCAATAATAATAAACCAGATGACACTTTTGCTTCAAACACGTTGTGTACTAGTATTTTTTATGTTATTTTAATAACACTAGATCACACATACATATAGGATAATGTAAACATCACAGCTAGATGCAAAATGATTTAGAGCATATTGATGGGAGTGATCAGAATGATCTGATTATCTGACTGTTGATTGCAGCAATCCAAATTATTTGCAGAAAAATAATGGGCCCCAAAATCAAATTTCACTTAGGGCCCCATGCAGGTTTGGGCCAGCCCTGTGAACAATCCTGCAGAAAAAGTCTTTCATCTCACAAATGATGGCTGGATTCTGGATTCTCTCACATGCTGTGTGTTTGAGAGTATGTTATCCATGTACTGTAAAAATGCATATGAAAATGGTAAGGAGAATGAACTGTAAGGAGAATTTTTTAAAATTACAAGTGTTTAAACATGCGACTGGTTAAATGTATACACCTCACCAAAACCGGGGATTTGTGAGCAAGGATGCTGAACAAATACTTGGCCCCTCTATGAATATTGTGGCCCCTTCACGGCCACACAGAAAAATCCCAGATCAGCCGCTGCTGGACACTCATTTACATAACAAATACCACACACACACACACACACACACACACACACACACACACACACACACACAC